TACGTAAGAACGGCGTTTGTCATTCGCCTGTACGATTCAGGCGAATTCGATCACGATCGCGATCGAGGGGCGAACGACCGCTTAAGAAATTCGCGGCGCGATCTTTGCACGCGATGAAGCGGCAACAGGACTTGTTCAATTTATCCGTTTGAATGGGGCATTTCTCTGATTACACGAGGTGCCGGTGAATTTTTGCGAACTGACTGAGCGAGAGCCTTGCTCCGAGAATTTAGTTCCAGAGGAAATTGAACGATCGATTTTCGTTACAGGTTCCGCCCGATTCCATTCCGCGGCTTTTTATTTTTATTTTTATCGTACGTCTGATGGGATTATTGCAAATTTTAAGCGTACGTATGCCACGTACCGGCCGCTCGAGTTTCGAACTGAGGATTGCAATTTTTCACAGCAGTCACATTTCAATGAATAATTTCGCCTGTACGTATGTACGTATTCGATGTATTTGCCTGTCATAGTTACTCGACATTTTTAGATGCCATTTGTGCTTACGAGGAGAGAAGAAACAGGAAAAAAGGAAAAAAAAGAAAAACAGACCAAGTGAAAATTTAATATATCGAATATTAAATTTTAATTAAAAGTCTGTATTTCTTACCAAACTTCGGTATTAAGAAAATACCATTGATCGAGCACAATGAGCAGCGAGCAATTCTGCTTTAATTAAATCTTCGTAGCTGTGATGTTGAAAAGAAAGAAAGAAGATTTTATTGAGTAATTAATTCACAATAAGAAACTGACCTAATACTTCCGTAAATTCTGTGTATCAGTTAATCAAGGAAATAGTTCGGTGGTAATCGATTCGTGCAGTGGGTCGGATAGATTTACGCTTTAATCATAAACGCGGCAATCCAGGTTAATTATCCTGATAGAAATTTTACACCGAGCACCGAATGAATTCGAACCCGCAACGATTACCAAATTATTAAACAATATATATACAGTGTAAACAAATAGCATCGTGCGAGGCAAGCACGCGAATGTACGAGAGAAACATTGAAAATTATTTAATTATTCAATTATTCAATTACTTCTAAAAATAAACGAGTGAAATATCTTCTAAAGATTCGTATTTCATCTTTCTGAAAAATTAAGTATATCGATGTTTAAGTTGCATAATATTTTAGGGATAAAGTATCAGATTTTGTTCAACAGCATCACATACAAAAATTCAAGAATATATTGTAAAAAGCTTGGATTATTATTTAATTTGCACTGTGCAAATCACAAAATATTATCTAATATTGTGATATAATTATTTTGTTTGCTGTTGAACTATTAACATCAATTATTTTTTTATGAAATTTAACGTGTTATTTATTGGTATCGACAATTTCTTGTAGACTTCAAATTATTACAATTATTAACAGTCTTTTCTTTTCATAAAATCGAAGTTGTAATTTCTCAATGTGCCAAAATTTTTTATAAAATTTGCTCGTGTCGCGCGGAAACAGTCACCCGATATCGTATCGAGAATATAAAAATTAAATCCAACGCCCGAATGAAAACGAAGTAATTACCAATCCTAACCAGATTTCACGCCATAAAGCTTTTCATCGTGTCACGTTTACGATTGTAAATTCTAACACGGACGATTAAACACGTCGTGTCCATTATTTTCATTCGGATACGGCCGCAATCTGTCGCTGTGAATTTAATCTTCTCGCGCGAAAGAATCGAAAACGATTGTGAAAATGAATTGCGCGAGAGCTACGATCGCAGCGCGTTCAATTCCCGTGAAAAAAAACGAGATTCGGCGAGATAATTTCGCTGGTTCAATTACACTCGCGTGTTATTAGGCATAATAATTATTATTAGACCGTGGGTTTCATATTCACATTTTTACAAACAAAATTTTAAAAAAGGAACGTAAATGACAATAGTGATATCTGTGCCAATTATTACATAGAATATTGCGCTTTGGACGTTTTATATATTTTTTGTTCATTTCTGCGGCTTGAAATTTCTTACAAAAAGTCCATAGAAATCCGCAATCTGATTATTACAATAAAATAATAATAATGAAATATAATATAATATCATTACATTATTAATGTAACTAATGACATTTACTATTAATTGTTGGAATCGCATCGAATGTGTATTTAAATACGAATGTGGGTCATGTTCGATATCTATGTTCCGTTTCATGAGTGTCAAAAAGTAAAAATATTTCAAATACACTTGCGCGATGTGTTCATGTTCACGCGAGCAACGAGACGGATACGTATAAATGTAATGAAATGAATGTATTCATTTCGTGCAAGCTGGTTCCGCAGCTGCATGTATCAAAAACTCAGAAGTAGCTCGATGCTTGTAAGATCCGTGACATTTTCACAAGCAGGTTAAGTTGCGTTGCCTATTTGAAGCAGATAGTACTTCGATAGATGGAGTTTTGGTTGATGGAAAAAAGCGATCAGTGAGATCAGAAGGACGAAGGCTTGCAATCAGAGAGAATCACGAAGCTCGTTTAATAATTTTTCATTTAAGAAACTTATTTGCGAACTCACATTTACCTAGACAGCAGTCTTGTTGCTGATGAAAAGCTAGCAACCAATAATCTATTAGAAGTGCGTGCACTAGGCGCGTACTTCGGCGAGAAAGAGCAACGAGGAACATCAATCTTCGTTGAGAGAAAATTTCATAAAGAGAAAGGAGAGAGAGAGAGAAGGAAAGAAGGAGCAAAAGGAAGGTTCTACGATGGTAAAATAATGGACAGCTCTTTGCGCGTAGCTCTCTGCTCTCGACAATACCCAACGCGAAACGAAATTTCCCTAAAAGATATCCCCTACGTTTTCGCATCGTTGGTCGATTTTCAGTCGATTTATCTCGGAACGTCGTAACTACGACGAAAGGTCAGCAAGGAGTGGCGTCTATTTATCCCACGGGATTGCACCTTCTTCGCCGTGCAATTTCGTTTTCGGGCAATCTCCATCTAGCTACGATCGAATCGTCCGTCGAACTGTTTGGTTTCGTACAGTTCCCCTTCGAACTCTTTCCACGCTCTCGTTCTTGATGGTTACACGACGTATGCGCCATTCCAGGTATCTCGCTGTCTCGTAAATTTCCAATAATGTACCTTGGCTAACCTTGGCTAACCTTGCAGTGAATTTCACAGTGTTACAGTACTATATATTTCGTATTTCGTGTCAATCGACGAAATCATGTACGTTGCACGAAACAGTTTGAAAGAGTTTTTCTGGATTTAGATTATTTTTCGAAATTGTTTTCTTTTAATTGAGGTGTAATATTAAAACATTTCTTGTCTCAGGATTTCTATCTGCGGATTTGAAAATCGTTTTCATTTCGTTCAACGTCACGCCATTTTTCAGTCATACAGGAATATTAAAATAAAAAAAAAAAAGAAAGAAAAATGCACGCAACATACTTGCAAAATGTTCTCATAAATATTCAAATACTTTCGCGAGCCATCTCATTCATTTTACGTCTTCAATTTCCCACAGATACGACGGCAAAGCAAAAACTGCGACCAAGCAAAACGTTGACCAACAGGGAAACGTGTAGTTACCACGATTAAAAATCGTCGTGAACGAGAAAAAGCTGCGGTAATTTCCCCATCAAGGTTTTTCTTTCGACAAATAGTTGGTTCGACAAGCGAAAATGCTGGCGAACACGCTCTGTATACGGGCACGTTGCCGAAACAATTCAAGCAGCGTATACTTCAAACGTGTTTTATACTGTAAAACCGAAACACTCGCTGAACGTCCACAG